AAGTTCTGGGGGCGGGGATAATCTGTCCACTCACTGCCACACAGTCAGTGCTGACTCACAGACACCTTATTGTACAGGGTCTGCCTGGGGGGGCTCTGGGAGGTAACTCTTTACAGGAGTAGAAAGCCTGTTTTTCTCCCGCTGAGCGGCTGGCGGTTTCAAGCCGCTGACCTTGCAGTTAGCAGCCACTGTAAGCTTTATGCCCCAGTGCTACTGAAATCAGACTCGCCAGCTGCTTCCCCTGGCTCTTTGTCAGTCCTCCCTCAGCTGAGCGGGAAACAAAGAAAAGGCAGATGGAGCAAGTCTGAGAAAAGCACTGCATTCACTGGGAGCAAACAGGGAATGCCAGAGCGGGGAGGGAGAACTGGTCAGGACGATGTGTATCCAGCTCTTTCAAAAGTGACTCTTACTATGGACGTGTATGGCATATGAACATTATATCAAGAAAACTACTAAGAGAAAGAAAATGTTTTGGAAATGATGATGGCAACGAATGTGCTTGATACAATTGATGCATGGATTGTTACAGAGTTGTAAGAGCCCCCGATAAAATGATTTCTTAAAATAAAAAACAAACAAAAATGAAAACTCCTAAAAAAGAAAACAAAGTTGGCCGTGGTGCGCACGGGCAGGGGAAGAACCTGGAAGGATATTAACAATGGTCGCACAACAGAGTGTCATCAATGGCCCTGAAGTGAACCTGAGGAAGTTGCTGTGTGATGCTGTGCATATTTATGCCACAATTTAAAAATAATCAAACAAATGATGAGTACAAGAAAGAAAAAAATGTTCTAAAATAAATTGTGGTAATGATGATACAACTCTTTTTGACATGATTGAACTATTGAAAGTGCCAATAAAACCTTTTTTTTTTAAAAAAGTAATGCATTAAAGCCACAGTCCTCCTGTCTTACCCATACACACAGAAAGCAACTACCTTTATGGAAACAAAATGAATCTAGGAGGATTAGTTAAATTTGAAGTTGCTGGTGTTAATAAGTAAGTCCCATGCACTGCATCTGAAGCCTTCTCAGATTACAAGTACTTAAAAAGGTAATTGACTTTACTAAAAATTAAAGATCAAAAAAACTTTTTTTAAGATTTAGAATTTACTTCAGGTATGCCAAAGTCAATTTTTTTTAAAAATAATCATTTACTGGGGACTCTTACAACTCTTGTTACAATTCACACATCAATTGTATCTGACTGAGATAGTTTATTGTGCCAGCCTGGCCGATAAACACAAGTGGGATTAACTGAAGGGCGGAGAGATAAATGGCTCGGTGAGCCTCGCCTTTCTTGTCTCTCGCTCTTTGATCATCGGACCAGTGTGCGGCTGCCTTGCTTGTTCTGTGCCTCAATTTAAAGGCTACACTAGCCTGTGGACTGTGTCGCTGTAAGTTGAGGTCCCTTTAAGACATCTCTGGAGTTGGGGACTGGCGATAGGTGACCTGGCTGACAGTTGGTGACCTGCCTTCTGATTGGCTGCTGTGCTGACATAGCCTAGCTCTCTCTATAAATAGAGGAAGACATGGCAGCAGACTAGACTTGAAGGACTGCTAGTCTCTCACAACTCTCTCACGGGAGTGAGTTGCACTAAGCCATTTGTACTGCTTTATAATTTAACTGTTCATTTCTTGTATTATATCTCTATCTGTATATAATTTAACAGTTCATTTCTTGTGTTATATATCTAATTATCTTTATAAATAAATATATTAAATTATCAGCAATTTGGTCTTATCTCTTTAGAGAACCCTGTCTAACACACTGACATATTCGTACATACATACCATCGTTCTTTTCTAGACCTTTACTTTCCATTGAGCCCTTGGGATCAGCTCCTCTTTTTTTCCCTTCCCTCCTCCATCCAAAGTCAAAATATTGAGTATTCCTCTAAAGCAGTGGTTCTCAACCTTCCTAATGCCATGACTCTTTAATGCAGTTCCTCGTGTTGTGGTGACCCCCTAACCATAAAATCATTTTCGTTGCTACTTCATAACTGTCATTTTGCTACTGTTATGAATCAGGCGACCCCAAAGGGGTTGCAACCACAGCTTGAGAATCGCTGCTCTAAAGGAAGTAATTAAGAACCTAATTATAACATTAATACATAATACCAGATGAGCTAGCAACAGCACTGAGTATGTGAAAAACAAATTAAATGATTGCATTAGGTCAAAACATTTTGTTCATTCCAGATAGGGGACTGTTCATATTCAATTACATAATTGCTAGAGAATAATCCCCATCTGGGCTGACACAAATGAAAATTTAAGTAAATCTATGAAATCATATCATTAATCAAGTAGTCATAAACATAAATTTGTTAAGGGCCAATTACTTGAAAGACGTTCTTTAAAAATTCAACATCCAGGAGGGTGGGGGGGGGAGTTAGCTGATACTCAGGCAGATACCAAGGGCTCAGGCAGAAAGCAAACGTTTTGAAAATGATGATGGCAACAAGTGTACAAATGTGCTTGACACAATGGATGGATGTATGAGCCCCCAATAAAATGATTTTTAAAAAAATTCAACATCCACACAAAACCAAATTCAAACTCCAGTACTCCTGCCTAAATACTTCCTTCCCTTCAAAGTGGCTGAGCTGGTACTTACTGCCCTTGCTCAGGGTCTTCTCCATTCAACATGGTGAACAGGAAATGCCTTCTCCCTTGTTGTTCCAGCGGATCCAGATCTATCACTTTAGAGGGAGAAAGTACAGAAAAGAAAAAGCAGAGTCATATTCAATTACTATTTTGGCATTCTAATACTTTTTTTTAAATCACTTTATTGGGGCCTCTTACAGCTCTTATAACAATCCAGACATGAATTGTATCGAGCACATTTGTACATATGTTGCCATCATTATTTTCTAAACACTTACTTTCTATGTGAGCCCTTGGTATCAGCTCCTCTTTGTCCTCCTCCCACCACATTATAACTCTATAAGCAATAAGCAACTGTGATATAAAATGGAGTTTGGCAACCTATGGTTCGTGGACTGGTGCCCATGAGTTTTACTGGAACACAACCACGTCTTTCTGTTTGCATCTTGTGGACGACTGCTGCAGTGGTAGAGTTGTGATGGAGACTGTATACATCACAAAGCTTAAATATGTACTCTCTGGCCTTTGAAGAAAAAGTTCATTAACCCTAACGTCCGCATGGAAAACTGTTGTACTCTTAAAGAAGCTGTTAAGCGAGTTTCCAGAAGTTCTACCTCAGAGACAGAACCGCATGCACCTATCCCATGGACACAGAGCACCCACGACTCCCGAAAAAGCCTCTTTGTCGCCCATTCCTAGCAAAAAATTGTAACTACAATTACCACAATCCCTCAGACCCAGAGAACCTTTAAAAGTGCCAAACCATGAGAGTTTGGGGGAAGCCATCTTCCTGATGCCAATAGCCTTACTCATCACCTCTATGTCTGACCAAAACAATTCTTTCTCTCAGTGAGACAGCCTGATTCCAGTAACAAAGCTGTATTTGCCAAAAACCAAAACTCAACCCACCCCCAACCCACCCGACCCCCACAACCAAATGTGCTTCCATCACTCTACAGCTGGAAGAATTCTAGGAGGCTGACTTTTAGGGCCACCTGGAGATTGGGGTTTCCTTCATGATGCTTATCTCAACCTGCATTCTCCCTGGCATCCTGATTTTACTGTGGGGATGCCGCAGCTCTAACAAACCAGCCGGTGTTTCCCAGCCTCCTTCACAGCAACAGGGGGCCAAGTGATTACATTCTGGCCACTGAACTGGGGAAAACTTCTGGGAACACTGCTTAAAAACTCAGCTGCTGATGGTGCCCGGCTATCAAAAGATATAGAATCTGGGGTCTTAAAGGCTTGAAGGTAAACAAATGGC